TCGGGAGTTTGCGGGTTCGGGGGTTCGAGACGAGGACCCGACGTTGTGTCCTCTTGGAAAGGCACTTTACACCAATTTTCCCCTCTTCACCCAGGTGAAAATGGGTACTCAGCTATAGACAGTGAAAGAGCAAGTCACTTTGCTAGTGTTTGAGCGCTTAACCAGCTGCTTGCACTGTATGCTTCCCGGGAAGCTGAGAATGTTTCTGAGTGTTCTATGTTCTGCTGGGGTAATAATATAGTGTAAAGCGCACTGAGCTTGTTTCAGAGTGGGGACATTCGCTATATAAAAGCTATTTATTATTATTAAATTTTAATGGTCATGCGGGTAAGACGTGTTTACCTTATTCTACGAGGGGCATACCAAAAGTGTTTTACCTGACCATGAAGGAATAAAGGTAGAAAGCTGAAATTTGGTACTAAGCTTGGTCTTTCTTTATGTAGTGCCCTCCCAGAGTTATACATGTTTGCCATCTGTGTATGACCTTGAAAAGACCATGAGAATAGAGGACCCTCTCTATGTTAGAAAACCAGCCCTCTACCGCTTCTTTGACCTCATCATCACTTTTTTTACACCAAAATGTTATCACAGCGTAGGATGGCCAATCAGATCCATATACGGCATGCATCTCCGTAAAAATATCCTGTAGTTGCTTGCCTTGCAAGAACAAATACTTCATTACTGCGCTGCGCTCAATTTTCTCCATTTTTACGTTGAAACAGGTGAACAACATAGCCCCATTCACTTACAGTGCGCTGGTGGTAAAACCAGCAATTTGAAATTTCCCAAAATTTACAAGCATTCTAGGAAGATAATTGTTGGCTGTCACCCAAAATTTCAGGTTTCTACCTTTATTTCTTCATGGTCAGGTAAAACATCGTTTGTTATGCCCCTCGTAAGAAAGAGAGGTCTAAGTCCATACATACCCGATGTTTAAATGGGCTAAAAGACTAGTTCGTTAAAACTTTCGAATAAAGAAAATACACTAAGTTAAAACAGGAAATTCGATGACAATGAACGAGCCTTTTAATATCAAAACTCTGTAATTTGTTAGTCTAGTTCAAATACTGTTGAAATTGTCCAAAACGGCCACTGATTTCGAGGAAGAAATTCTTGGCCTATGTCAATATGATATAATTACTATAGAAAAAAAACCCTGCAAGGGAAAAGTGAGAACTGGTCGTATAACAGTTGATTGTACTGGACCAAGGTGCTTGCTACAGCAGTTTGACAACTTTTTTTTCATCTTCAATCTTCACCTTCTCCTAGAGTGTAGTCCGGCTCACAGACCGTTTAGATATTGCTCTAGATTGTACGACCGGGCTTTTTCCCCTCCTTGCGGTTTTAATAGCCAGTGCCCTTTGGGAGATCGCTTCTCTATCACAAACCGATCGCTCGACTTACGGCCTTGACTGAAAATAAACGCTTTTGATATTTTAAGCCCACGGTCGGCTTTGTTCGTTTTTTTTTATTATGGTCGCATTTCGCTCTCAGTCTGGCTAGCCCTGCCTAACAAACCGATGATATATTA